CCATCCTTGTCGGCCTCGTCCCGTTCCTCTAGTTCTAGTGCGTCCAGACGGAGAAGGCGTCGAACGACGCTGGGCCGACTAGTGAGCTTATCGCCATCGTGCCGTCTCGACATTGACGCGATTTTCTCTGCTAGCCTTGACGACCCTGGTTTTCATTAACCCCGTAAGTTCTATTCCATTTTTGACCATTTGATCATCTGCTGATTATATGACGATCTCGGATTCAGCATATCGCCCAACCTGTTCTGTAAGATTCCTCGCACCTCAGTCAACACAAGCTAACATGGAATTCAAGCAAGATTAGATTGAGTTTTGACTTGGAGGGGGAGTTTTACGAGGGAGTTTTCGAGGGCTATCCCTTGCGATTGATGGAATCGTTCATCGAGATCGTCTGTTAAATCTGCCGTGAAATCAATGATCAATAAACAAATGCTTTTGAAGTTCGAACGGCCAATTCACAAACTCTTGGTTCCCTCCCATATTCAAGCTGACCTATGCCGACGATCAGGCTTGGTCGGGCAGAGAGCGTCGTTCGACACGCGCGCCATCCCAGCCCATACAACGCAAAGGACGCGATGATCTTGAGCCTTGGCTTCAAATTCCGCTACCACGTTTGTGTATATTCTGTACTACCTGCACAACTGATTCACAGAACTACAGCTCCCAAACCATACGTGACTCTGGGCTCAGACTCCAATGGCCGCGCTACTCTGCTGTTTTCAGACTTCGCGCCGCGCACGCAACTCCGGCTGAAGCGACCCAAATCGAAGTCCCTTCATCACGGCTGGCGTCTTTCCACGGCCCGAGGGGTCGTACAGGAGCGTCTTCTTCTCCCTGGCCCCCGTCCACCATACCTTGAGCCAGCATCGCCATCTCACCAATGCACCATTTGTCACGGAGTACAAACTCACCCAGTAATGTAGGCGCTCGCTGGCCTCTAAACCGGAGTACTCATTTCTTCCTTCCCTGTCAGTTCCGCGTGTGGACACTCGGGCTGTTACTTATGTATGCGCCTATGGCTCCAGCGCAACTGGCAGTGCCCTACATGCCAGGCCGTGATCAGAAACTCACCAATCCGCAACGTCGACCTAGAGGCAACACTGAAGGCAGCATACCCGCCAATTGCTGCTGACCTGAGTCGCGTTACTTATTCATGGAGTGGACTTCTTTTCCCAACGGCGTAGGGCGGCGATTGGCAGTGGAGATAGCTACCCCAGTAGTACTTGTCTAATGTCATTCTCTTTTGGTGCTCGCATTTGCCCCGCATTTGATTCGTGTTTGCCTCGGATATCGTGACCGCGTACCGCCCCCGAACGAGCGATGGATGTGCGTGTGTCACCGCGTGACCTGGACTTGGCATCATGCCATTTGCCTCTTGTCCCTCAATTGAGACATCAAGCAAAAACTTCACCAACGGTCGGCGCTGTTGCCTCGTTGATGCACAACGCGGATTCCTGGTGACTGGGTCTTTCCATGTGGAGGGGTTTGATCGGTGGGCGGGCGACGCCATTTGTCTCTCGTCCCCGCAATTGACACATCACCCAAACAAGACCATTCAGTTTCGCACCGAGTTGGAAACGACCCGCAGCCCAGCACACCACTCATCATCAATCCTTGGGACTGCGTATTTCCCCGGGTCGCACCAAGGCACCAACATGATCAAGGTCAGCACGTCTGACTCCACTCAGCCCGGTTTCACCCAAAGTTACAGCTCCCTCGACGCTTGCGGGTGAGATGAGTTCGCGCAAGCGGGCAAAACAGGACATCATCGAGCTCGGTACTTCCAGAAGCTACGTTCCGACCAAGCGCTTTCCATCTCGCACCACTACTCGCAACTACTATATCACTGACGACGGTACAAACCGAGTGACAACGACAACACTACACGATGTTCAGTACCTTCGACCCGAACTGCCAGTAGGAGACGCATTCGCGGCATTCGAGCCTATGCCAGCGGAGCCATCCACCCAGCGAGAGCCAGATGTCGACGAGCGAGAAAATGTGGAGGGAGAAGAAGTGGGGTCCAAGCGCAAAACATACATCAGCTCAGTACGGAGGAGTGTCCCCTCATACAAGCGCTCTTATACTGATATTTCTATAGACCAATCCAATGTCCCAATGGCGACCACGCATGGCTCTTTTCCTCGATGAAATTCTTCGTCACGAAGGTCTCGGAAATGACCTGCAAGACCCACATTGCGCCCATTGCAGTCAGTCACTTAGCGCCAGCCCTACCGACGTCACTGCCCCACGTTTCTTCCGTTGTGAAGATTGTGGAAGACACCTACAGTGTCTGACCTGCTGTTTATCGGTCCATCAACGTTCTCCTCTCCATTTGCTCGAGGTGCGCAAAACCCGTTTTATCGAAACAATTCCTTAAGTTCCACAGGAATGGAATGGAAATTATTGGTTCCCCCAAACCCTTCGACAATTGGGCCAGGTCTATCAAGTAGGGCACGGTGGTTTCCCTTGCGCATTCCCTGATGTCTCCATTCACACGATGACTGTCATCGACCTCCCTCACGTCCACTCAATCCGAATCCGCTACTGTAACTGTGCCAAATCTAAAGATGCGGACAACATGACCCAATTACTGCGGAACGCTTGGTACCCGGCAACCGTAATTGAGCCAGCGACTTGCGCCACCTTCCGCACACTCAAAGCATATCGACTTTTCAACGTCGAAGGGAATCTTAATGTATCCGACTTCATATCTGCCTTGGAACGAATGACGAGCAGTATGGCCGTTTCGGGCTTGGTAGCCGTTCCGGTGGGTTCTCCCTCTTTTGCGTTGCTATGATACTTATAATCAATTTTCAGGAACGCACCCGACAATTCCATCGAATGTCTCGACAGTGGGCCTTTCTTGCCCGTTGTAAGCGTGCAGGTCGTGGCCATGATCCCGCTGGAGTTGAAAGGACACAGCTCGGTGCATGCGCTGTCGCCTGCTGGGCATGCCCCCATGACGGCCGCAATCTTCCAGCCGATTGGAGATCTGTCGACCCTCGCCTCCAGTCAGTGTGCCTGAAAACTGCCCAATCATGCTAACTCGTGTCTTCGCAGATTCCTTTACATGCTTATTGTGGCGATGGATGCAAATTTCCGTCTCAAAAATCGCCTTCGCGCAAACGAGATCAACGACCCGCCACTAGGACCAGGATGGGGATATTGGGTCGAACCGACAGGGTACGAGGAACATGTGAAACGCTATGTTAGTGAAGCAGATGTAAGTGCTCACTCATTAATTTTCTCTGGTGAGCCTTTTTGACACCTTCCCATTCAGATGAGCACCTGCATCGCATTCGCTGCCCTTCTCCAGAAAGACACTCGCATGACCACGGGGCTGCGAGTTTCTGGGGTTGGGGCTTGTGTCTGTGTGCGCGCCATGAGTGTGTACGCCCCAATGGTATGGGTAACCTGCAAAAGGGCGAAAGGTATTGCTATTAACTTATCTTATTCCTCCATTAACTGTATATCGAGGTACTGCAACATGGATTGGATCCTGTTCTCGGCCATTATGACCATCATGATTCTATTCATCACCATATCGTACGACATCGCCTGCCAATGGAAGGTGAACCTTCAAGAGCGAATGCAGCGACTACCTCCATCGATGCACAAGAACTTTAACGAAGTCAACGTCCAGTTTGGCCTGCCTGTTTGGCATGCGGAATCGCACAAGGACAAATGCAGGGATAAAAACACCATCTCTTACAAACGTGGCGTTGCGAAAACCGATGGGGAGGGAATTGAGCGACTCTGGTCCAATTTGAATCCAGCGGCTCTGGCAACGAAGGAGATGGGGCTTGGAAACCGAGCTGATGTTCTCGATGATCGCATTGACAATCATAACTTCCTGAAGAATATGACTCTGGGTAAGTATGTCATGATTTCACTGTGCGCGATCTAATCACCTGTCCGTCCAGGGAAAACGCTGCAACGTCGACTCGTTGTTGCTCGAAATGAAAGAGCGCAGCAAGTCGGCGCATTCCAGGCGGTCAGCGATGGCATCGCTCCAGAACTTCAAAGGCAATGGAAACGCGACATTCGTGCATGGGAAGAGGACGATGGGCAACCCAATCCTTTCGTGCTGCCGACGAAAGGTATGCAACAAGTTCTTTTTTCGTGGCATCTAATTTGACACTGATCTTGATCTCACCCAGACTTTCCTACTGAAGCGGAAATTCGTCTAGACCTTCAACGAGAAGAGCGACAGCAAAATATTGATGGACGCGCATTCGTAGCAGGTGGCAGCGCTACTGCTTTCCTCTCGGCAGGGATACAAATCGAAGACTCTCAGTGAGTCCATCGAACAACTTTTCTTCCTTGCTGAAAGCTGAGCTTCCTTCAGAGCCCGTATCAAGGACTTCACACAAGAACACCCCGTTCTGACTGCCGATCACGAAGAGAAATTGGATGAGCTGCGTGCTTCTTTACTGAGAAAGATTGCTCGCTTCCGTGAATTGCAGCAGGTGTATATGCCCGGTGCCGCCCGCCGTCCTGGCCGAGATGGAACTCAACCGTGATTCGAATGCCGCGCCGCCACTTCCCGAAGAAATCGCCTTGTATATGCCGAGCCAAATGCCTATCAACGTGGCTTTAGGCGGCATACAAGGCTGCCTTGAAGGCCTAGTCGACATCGAAGAGAAACTCCGGGCCTCCCAGTGCCAAAATGCTCTGAGTCAACTGCGCTTCAAGCTTCATGGCAAGCGATGGTTGATAGCGTATCGCAATGCCAACATCACCGGTCAAAACCAGACAACAAAGGCGGCCAAGCTCTTGGAGTCGGGTTACAAGCAAAGTCACATTCATCTCTTTGCGGTATCGACGGGGGCATTCGGCGTTGGCGGGGTTGAGTGCTTTGTCAAGATACCCGGCCCTCCGGGGAACTGAAGAAGGAGGATATCAGCCTCCCGGGAGACAACGAGCAGAAGGATCTAGCAGCTCGGGGTAAGTTGGCAAGAATCGGTGTTGGACGCAGTGCACGGCCTTCTCGCAATATGCCTGGTAACACAAAACGGATCATGTCGTGGATTTGGACTGCCCCGGGCGCTTTCGATGATGAGGAAGAGCAACTTCACACGAGTACGTCTTTCATGTTTTGGGCTGCTCAAAAACCTCAAAAGTCTATTCACAGCTATGCGCGTGGAGTGGTGTCGAGCGATGGCACGCAAAACACGATGGAATGAAGAAGTTATGCTGCTGGAAGAAGAAATGCGACGCACTCTTCGTTATCTGCAATGGCAAAGTCAGTGGTGGAGACAGCAAGCAGAAGGGCGGGGGGACGTTGAAGATGAACTGAACAGTGGTTTTGCGTGCTTATGCTGCTCGTTCTGCGGCGGCAAAGCGAGCAGGTGCTCACACATTTTCAACTGAAATGGGGTGTCAGTGAACGTCGTGCTCTGAATGAATTGGAAACCTTAGCTAGTATAGCGGAGCTCGAAGAATAACATCTGTTTGTAAACAGTAACACAATGATTGACCTCAATCATAATTGTCGGGAACAAGTAAAAGTCGGGAACTGATGCATAAAAGTCGGGAACTGACGTATAAAAGTCGGGAACTGATGCATAAAAGTCGGGAACTGACGTATAAAAGTCGGGAACTGATGCATAAAAGTCGGGAACTGACGCATAAATGGGTGCCTTTCCATAAGGTAGATGAATAGTTGTATAATATATGTATCGCGGTGCCAGTGATCTCGGTTAGAAAATTCTTTGAAGAGTTTATTCTGTCCTGTTTCCCGTAACGACTTGCTACTCAATAAATCATTGCTCGACTCACATCTAATCACACTTGCCATCACCATCGATAACAAACAACGCGCACACGATACACAATGGATTCTGGCGCGTTGCTCCTCATGCTGCATGCCCAAATGCTCGAGGACGAAGACGATGATGATGAGCAGGACTGGGAACATGTTGTTGCTGTCATGGGCTTGACACTGGCCGGGATACTTCGACGACGGGAATTGCATGCAGCACGACGCCGCAAAAGTCGTCACTACCTCTCCCGCCCACAGCTTCTCCCAAATCCAAGGAAAGACACACCTTGGCAGCAACTATACAGCACGAAAGAAGACCGTGCATTTATTACAACAATGGGCTTCGATGTTGCTACATTCCAATTCATCCTCAGTGCTGGTTTTGCGAACGCGTGGTATACAGTTCCCATTCCTCGTCATGACACATCACGGACCGGAAACCCACGACCCGGAGCTCGTTCATTGGATGCTGCAGGTGCTCTTGGCCTTGTACTCCATTTTCTTAATTCAACGATGAAAGAAATTAGCCTCCAGCAGATCTTCGCACTCATTCCTTCAACGGTGTCTCGCTACATAACTTTTGGGTTGCACATTCTCCTTGGTGTCTTAAAGAACATCTCCGACTCATCGATTAAATGGCCTGCAAGTATCGACGAGTTCACAGCCTTCCGAGATCTCATCATTCAGCGACACCCACTCTTAACTGGTGCATTTGGAAGCATTGATGGTCTTAATCTGCCTGTGCAGACAGCTGACGATTTGGAGATTGAGAATGCGACCTACAATGGCTGGCTATGTGAGCATTTTGTTAGTTCAGTACTTGTGTTTGCTCCCAACGGTAATACATCTTTTTGCTGCATTAGCATCGTGCTCAGACCTTTATTAGGTACAATAATTGCAGCGCGACTCAATGCTCCTGGCAGCTGGCATGATTCACGCGTTGCTCGCCCCATCTACGACAAGCTATGCGATAGAACACCAACTGGGTTCTATTTATGTGCAGATACCGCCTTTCCACGTGGAACAGCTCAAATCGATGGCAAGATTCGTGCTCCTGTCAAGACGGGTCAAGTGCTAGAAGGGACGGAGGAGGAGATAGAGGAGCAGATTGGTTTTGGAAATCAACTCGTGTCTTATTGCCAGACAGCGGAGTGGGGAATGAGGGCCTTGCAAGGCTCGTTTGGCCGGCTCAGAGTTCCGCTTGACATTGCTGATGATGAAGGACGGAGGGGATTTGCTCGAAATCTGTGTCCGCCTGCTCAATCTGCGTACTAATCGGATTGGATACAACCAAATCCAAACAGTCTATGCACAGATATGGACGGAAACCAGAGAGGATGAAGCTGTCTGGAGTAATTTTGAGGATATGATCTTTTCGCAGCAACGTCGCTCAGATCGTGTTGCTCGCTTTCACAATTTTGCCATGTATGATGATTAGATATTGAGATTAGATATTGAATCAAATTAAAATGTAGCTGAACATGTAAAGTATGAGAAGTAAACAACAAGAAAACAGTCGGTAGAGAATTAGTCAGATTGAGAGCAAGGAAATATGGTTCTACTTTGCTTCGGGGTTGGGTGATTTGAGAGTCCCCGGGCTGATGATGAAGGAAACAGGAGGACCCCGTTGCGGAGTCATGACCAGCTGGACTGCATTGCCAGTGACTGTGGCAGATGTCGCATCGGGAATGGCAGGTGACGGCGTTGGTGTGTTCCTAGAAGGACCTGCACCGCCGGGAGAGGGTGATCGAAACCAGGCAGGAGTTGGGTCACGGCGGACATGGGGAGGGTTAGCGCGTCCGCTTGATGGCCGGATCCGAGGTTTTTTGACTGAGCGTTGGTGACGATAATCAAAGTCTGTTGCATCGGAAGATGCATCTGTGACCCAATAAGTGCATACACCACCTTCTGGGTAGAAAGTCTCACAGCGAATCTTGCCCCCGACCCGCTGCAGACCTGAATAGTCTCGACCAGATTCTATGTGACGTCGGCCCCGTTTAAGATTACGCCGAGGAGAGGGATCACGTTCCCGCGAGAGATCTCGCTCCCATCGTGAGATAGACTCTCGATCCCAACGAGAAAGTCGTCCATCACCAATGTTCTCCAACCTCATCTCAGCGGAGTCACGCTGGCGACGTAGACTCTCATTATCTCGTTGCAGCCGATTGGTCTCTCGCCGCAGCTCTGTCATCTCCTCCCGCAAGCGTGCCAGTTCCTGCGACATGAAGAAACCCTGCGTCATCTCGGCAAATCGTCGATCGCGCGACTCCTGGCGTGTAGCTGCTGCATTTGGATCAAGAACACTTGAAAACTTGGAGATCAGATCGTTGGCAGTAGTGCGAGGAGCTCGGCGAGATGGTATAGCTGGACTGGGAGCCCGCTTTGCGACAGCAGTGCGAACGTGCTGTGTGACTTTGCGAGGACGACAGTGTGCACTATCTGAGTCCTCATCATCGTCATCACTACTGTTGCTGAGGTCGTTGGAATGGTTGATGTCGGAGTCGTCACTGATGTCGCGCGTCGCAAAGCGATTGTTGATGAGAGACTCGATTTCGTGAGCTCGAGTGATATGAGGCTTGCGTTCACCAGAACCTGTCGGTTTCTTCTGTCGTAAGTTCTAGAGTAGACGTTACTGTACTGCGATGAAGATAAGAACTGAATGACATACACTTTTATGCTTGTCATCGCAAGCTTTTCCTGTTCGCAGGACACGGCCGGTCGGGGTCGCATATGCATCGTTGTATTCCCTCGCCACAGACTCCCACCCTTTAGCTCCACCTGGAACTCCCACCCGCTCTGCGGCATCGTACATAGCCATTTGGTCAGCCGGACTCCAGTTCTGGGATCCAGCTGGACGCCCTGCCTTTTTGCGCCGTTCTCGTTCACTATCGGAGTCCGACTCACGACCCTTTCCCTTTCCTTTCCGCTTCTTCTCCTTCTGACGCACCCCAGCAACCTTCTGAGCTGGCTTAAGATCGTCGATGCGCGAGAGATCGATCATGGGGTATATTGGCTTGGTAGGTTGTTGTGCCAGAAGGGAGGGGTCAATGAGCGGAGTGGAGACGGGATTGGTGATCGGTTGAATGGCGAACTGGTACTAGTGCAGTGTGTCAGAACATGTAGGTCAAGATGGATAGAATGGAGTGCTCACATTCTGAGTGTTGTTATACGCTTGCTCAATTGGTGGATCAGGACCACGATTCTGCCAAGTGTTAACACTGGAGAGAACGAGAAACACCAAGACCTACGAGAGGTGGATGGGCTTGAAATGAAGGAGTTGGCACCTCAGCCTTCGAGTTTTGTCAGTGAAACAGGATAGACAGGTACACAAGACCACGCACCATGTTCCCAAGAGGTGGTAGCTGGTGCCAAGTCCCGTTTGCATCACAATAGGAGTAGGACCCATTGGCTTCTTGACGAAACTGAACAGAGGCAGAGGACATGTTGGCCTGGGAAGACATCGGTGGGGGGTAGCAAGTTAAGAATCGATGCTGCGTACCTCATAGTGTGTCCCAGCCTTATATACCCATATCTTTTCGGCACATCTCGGACTCCATCCATCGTACGACCACCGTCTGAAACACCAGCCAGCCTATCCCATTGCACCCCATCCCGCCTGGCCCTGCCAAGGTCGGGGCTCTTCGGTTGCTGGCCCTCAGCCGTGTCGAATGGGTCGATATTTCGAAGATTTGCATGACCATATGAAACAGGGCAAGTGGGTGCCTAAGGCGGGCCCGCTTAAGCGGCCGGGACGCGTTTTCGAGTGGTTTTAGAGTCGATTAGGAGTTGTAGCGAGAATTGAGAGAGAGCACAGCATGTGACCACTTTCCAAATTTGGTTTGTTTAGAGCATTTTGGTGGTGCGTTTAGCTCTATTTGAGGGGTCAAGACCCTCCAGGTAGATTCAAGAAAACAAGGCGTCTATTCGGGGGTGTAAGCGACGCTAAAGTCCTTCGGGGTCCTGATGCGACCATCGGCATCGCGGAAAAAATTTCAAAATATTATATATTGTATATATTTATCTTGCGGAAAGGCACCCAATGTCGGGAACTGATGGAAATTGCAGTTTTGCGGATGTTACACAGCACCCACAAAGGTGAAATTTTGCTGGATGTTTGGCTACATAAATTGAATGGATTTGAGAAATTTTCATTTTTTTTCACCACTAATAAATTCATAATTAATTCCACCATTTTTCCCTTCGTAAGAAACTGCACTAGGCTACGGCCAGTCCCAGCGGCCATGTCTGGAAATATTTTTGGAATTTTACGCCGAGGCACAGTCCTGCAGTGTGAGCAACTCTTCGAAATAAATGTCGGGAACAGTGTATCAAAAGTCCGAAATGAAAGCAACATGAATCAGAGTTCCACCTTCAAAGTCACCACCATATCGTCTCTCCCGTGTGTACTCGACAACTTCACTTCACATAATTTCTAGGAGCTCATGTGCACAACTTAGCAACTGGAACAGCACTCATGGTATTTTCACACTAACCCTCTACGTGTTGAAGTTGTCTCGCGCACCACCAGTCAGTTGTGATCGACTCACCAGGTAAATATTTGATCGCATTCAACTCTTGACTCTAACTCCCACTATGGGACGTAAAAAGTTACCGCCCGAAGTGCGTCTGCGGCGCCGGCGTGAGACTCAAGCACTTTACGAAACTAAGTATGTGCCCATCTCA